TTCAACTGAAGAAGGCCTTGACCTATCTGTGTCAGATGGACGAACTGAGTTAGACAAAGCTAGTTCAGTCCCTTTGCACTGAGGCTGAAGAAAGCCATATTCTATGCAAAAAGCATTGTCTATACAGGTAATCCTTGACTTACGACCACAGTTGAGCCCAAGGTTTCTGTTGCTAAATGAAACATTTGTTGAGTGAATTTTGCCCCATTTAATGATCTTTCTTGCCACAGTTTATAAAGTGAATCACTACAGTTGTTAAATTACTAACACTGTTGTTAAGTGAATCTGGCTTCTTCAACTTTGCTTATCAGAAGGTTGCAAAAGGGGATCATGTGACTCCGGGCACTGCAACCGTCATAAATATGAGTCAGTTGCAAGCGTCTGAATTTTGATCATGTGACCATGGGGATGCTGCAATGGTTAAATGTGAAAAACTGTCATAAATCACTTTGTTCAATGCTAGTGTAACTTTGAACAGTCACTAAATGAACTGTAGTAAGTCGAAGACTACCTGTACATTTATATTTTTGTTAATGTTAATAGGCTTTTAACTGTCACCATATAATTATATTTTCTAATTATACTGTTTTTATTATATATCAATGTATACACAACTCCAAGCAACCTTAGGAGAAAAATCCATATATAAAATAAATAAATTGCCAGTTTTGGCCCAAACTTTGTCAGGAGAACAGCATAAAATACAATTTGTGATATTCCCATTAGTAACTTCTCGTTAGCACCTGCCATCTTCTTTACCCAGAAACTACCATGCGCAGTGCTTTGAGATTGAAGTTACTACCCCACCAAAGCAATGTTAATCATTATCTAATGAAACTTTCGAAATCTGAACTGGAATCCTGGAGTTGCAGCCCCCAATTTCCTGAAGTTACCACATTAGGGAAACATATTCTAGGCCAAAGTTTCTTAACCTCAGAAACTTTTAAGACAATTTAAGAATTCTGGGAGTTGATGTCCAAACACCATTTAAAAAGCCAGCTACTGCCCTGAACAATGGTAAAATTTATATTCCACCCTCTTCCCCACAATGTGGTCATTCTTTCCCTAAATATTTTTGAAATAGGACATGTGAAACATTACAGATACTCATAGTACAGCATATAATTGCTCCTTAGCAGCATCACTGAAGCTCAAGAAAGGAATTGTCACCACCACCAGAGTTGCCTTCTCAAGTTATTTTAGGGCAAATCAGAATTCTAAACAGCTGTCAAAGGCCACATAAACGCCAAAGTCATAATATCCCCTTTTCAAGGCAGCATCTCTCTAAGTCCCAGCTATTGGGAAACAATGGCAGTGGGTGCATTATGTTTCCTGTTTATGATCTTCCCCAAATAGAATAAGCCAGTGTTTCCCAAACTTGACAATTTTAAGGCATGTGGACTTCAACTCCCAGAATTCCACAGCCAGCATTGCTGGCTGTGGAATTCTGGGAGTTGAAGTCCTCATGCCTTAAAATTGTCAAGTTTGGGAAACACTGGAATAAGCCAAAATATTCTTACAATCCAAATCAAATGTTTAGATGCCCAGAGTAGGCTATTTCAAATATTAATGTTTCATCTTTTTGGAGCTGCAACATAAATTCATACCTCTGAATCTTTCCAGCATTTGTCCTTAAGGCTTATGGTTGATCATAATAAGAACTGAGTTAGGTAAATCGTAGAACAAAATCCTTGTGTTTTATGACACAGAAAGGCACAATAAAATAGTAGCAACCTGGGAACTTTTTTATAAGATGCCAACATGACACTCTTTATCTTACCCTCAGATGAGAAGAACTATACAATCACACACAGAAAAGTGTGGGAGGTCTGGCAAGATCAATTTCTAGGTATTTCTTTTTGGTATAAGAAACTGTTATTTTCAGAATATGTTTGACAAATGCAAAATTGGCATAGATTACAGATAAATCAAACAGATGGAAAGTGGGAGGAAAATACCAGCCATTTATCTAGCTGATTAAAGAAGAAAAGACAGACATAAAGGGATTGATTGTGTATGCATGGGTGTATTTCTATCTATCTATAAAGTTGTAATGAAGAAAGTAGCAACACTAAAAGTATCTATGGAGTTGTTATTCCTTTTTATTAGCATGTTTCTTGTCCTTTATCAATTTTCAGAAGTTTGTCAGTCTTCTATCACCACCTACAGCCATCTCAGATAGTTGAAGTCTCTCACAGAGCCGAAGTTAAAAAAAAAATCAAGCCAGCTCCTATTACAGAATAAAACTAAAGTTATTAATAAGATGCTGCCACCTATCCATCATTTTCCTTGACAATAATAGAAGCCAAATAATACCAATCTCATATTGTTTAGAAGGCAACTCAAGGCTGCAGGTGATTCTAATTATTTATTTTTTGTAAGGAAAATTTTAAAATAAATACCTTAAAGGGAGGAAAAACACATGGAAAGACTGCTACTGTAGTGAGTTTACTTAACAAAGAAAAATATCCAGTGTGCTAATTTAAGCAAAATTAATAAGATTTAAACATAGTTTTCTTTTACTTGTGAGGCTGAGTTGCTGTTATGGAAAAATGAAGAAAACTGAAGTAAGCCATGGAAACATAATATTACTTAGTTAATATGCAACTTGACTATAGCAAAAACCGATATTATGCATTTTCTTTGGATTTTTGTATTTCTTTCTTATTTCCTGCATTATATAGCTAATTATATAGAAATATTATTTAAAAATTGGACTTATTCTACTAAAACTCTGTGATTTGTATAGTTAGTTTTCTTGACCCAATTCATGCATGCAGGCATGTATCTGGCGGGGCAATTATTGGTTATTTGCTTAAACAAGTTCTAATACTTTGTATAATCTCATTTTAAGCATCTTACTGCAAACACACCTATACCTTTATATTCTACAACAGACACACACCTTTATATATGAGAAAAATACTATGCACATTGTCATACATGAGCCTCAGTATGATTGGGGCAAGCTGAAAACCACTTTCAAGTGTCAGTCATGGATACTATAATTTGGTGAATGCACGGCGATGCTAGAGCACTTGGCTGTGTTGCAGATTTGCATCTATATAAGTCTACCTTTGTAGAGTCAGTGCCAATTTAATGCTTTGCCACTCTGAAGTCAGACCATGACTGCCCAAAGGCATCATTGGGGTTTCTTTTCTTGAGAGGTTGGAAGAATATGAAATACTTTCCCTTTATATTCTGTCCCTTCTCCTACAGTCCTCCTGCTAGATCTGGAAGAAACGCTGCATTCACATCACCCGGCTGCCCCCCCATAGCCCCCATGCCCCCCCAGCCCCTCAGTAGTACCACAATGCAGCAGTGCTATTCAACCACTCTTTCGTTTTGAGATGTTGGATAAGGAAGGAGGAGCACAGAAAGGGGGATTCCTTTTTAGTGGGTGTGTTCTGCAGACATCCTGGAAAGGGCAACCTGGATCCATGCTTGATCACTGTTTTTTCACAGCAGTGCTTTTTAGGGTTGATTTTTTTTCTAAATCAATCCATCCTTTCCTTTGTCTTTTTCAGTGAGATAATATGTAAGGATTATCATTCCTTCTTTGCTGTTCCCCTTCTTCTCTAGATGCACACCCACAGCCTCCCTTTGCAGATCCCATGCTTTTCCTCCCCTTCTGCAGACAATCATATCAAATATCATATTAGCTTAAGAGCAGGAAAGATGATTCTTTAGAGTTTGCATAAAAACTGCATTTAAAAATACCCCTCCTTAAAATATCATCTGCATAGGCAGACCCATAAGCTGACCCTTCAGATAGGAAAATCTGCATTACCATCTCTAATTTGTTGCAGTGTGTGGTGTGCATACATGCATTTTCTCTAAGGACTTTCTTATTATCATTATGCCACTATTGTTATCCTTTAAAATACATATATGCAAACACACACACACACACACACACACACTTGCTACTTTCCCTCCCATCTATGATAGAGGGAAATATAAATCTCTGCTCTAAACCATTCATCAGCCTTGCTGCAGCACTGTCACAGAGAAAACATGCCCAAAGAAGCTGCAGAAGGAATCCTAGACTGAACATGGTCCCCTCTTCTAAACTACACACATGGAATGACCACAGCCAGCTGGATTTATTTTACCTTTCTGCAGCAACAGGTTCCTAGGATGCAAGGGAGAATCCCAGAAGCAGCACAAAATCCCCTGAAGTTCCTACCCTGGACAGCTACACAGGTAGTAAAGGGAGAGGAGGAAAGGGGAGGGAAGATGGGAGGGGAAGTGGGTGTGTTTACAAAGAGATTTGTGCAAAGGAAAAAAAGGGGGGCAGACTTGAAAAGGAACCGGTGGACCTTTTAGACAGGACCAATTTGACACTCTACCTGCTGCCTACCTGACTCTGATTTTCTATCTTTGTTTTGTCTTTCTTATTTGGGAACTTCCAAGAAAGGCAATGTCTCACAATAAATATTGGAGTAGCTTATCATAACACAGTACAATCTCATAAACATCACATCCTCTACATATTATTACATCCTTGGGTTTTTAGGTGAAGTGCTTCTTTTTCCATTTTTCCCTCTAGAAGACTATAATGCCCATCAGCCGTAGCGAGCAAGCACAAAGCCTACTGGCCGAAGGCGATGGGCTTCGCAGTTAAGCATTACGCGAAAGCACCTCTTGCACAAGCAAAAAAAGCACACACAGCTGCAATGGGTGGGCTCTCGGCAGCACGAAAGGGGGAGAGGGTTGCTGTGTGATGGCTGCCCAGTCAGCTAGGCTAGCAACTGTTAGCCGCCCAGCGAACGCTTCCATTCATTCGACGAGACGCGTCCGCATTTTTCGCCCCAGACTGGCTGGGTTGCAACGTGTCCGGCTACTCCCAGAGACAGAGAGACCGAGCGAAGAAGGGCCATCCAGCCCAGGAGCTGTCGGATGTACCCGCCGGGTTCCTGCTAGCGACCAGGCAGCGTTGTGGGCCGGACACAAAGGGTTCTCCACACTCTCATCCTCCCGCCGTTCTCCTTACCTACCTGCAAACTGAGCCGCCCGCAGCAACCCGGCTGACTGATTCTGGGCACCAGCCGAGCGCTCCTCCTGGCCGCCTTCTACCTCGTTCGCTTCTTCCTCCTCCCGCCGGGCCAGTCACCGCGGATGCCGGGGATCACAGAGAGCTATCCACCGCCACCGAGACCATATCTGGAAAGCGCCAAGCGCTGGCGCCCCATGCAGCGCGGCGACAAGAGAAAGAAGCGCCCCCCTTGGAAGGAAGGAGTCGCAGGCGGGGGCAGACGCGCGCTTAAAGGAGGCGCGGCGGCAGCGTTCCCCTCAGAGCGCCGCAGGACTCGCCAGCTCCTTCCTCCTTCTTAGCGCCTCCGGGAGGCGGCGCGCCCCTTGCCTCCTTCCCGACGCGAGCTTTCGCTAGCCAAGGGCGTCCCTGCTCCCTCCTGTTGCCCTGGCCCGCAGACGGGACAGGCGCGGGCGAAGGACCGTCGCCCGTCTTTTCCACGTGTCTACAAATTTGAGGCGAAGTCTTACAAGCGAGTTTTTCGCGCACAGAGGGAGGGATTGAAGGAGCTCGGCTCGGCTTTCCCTGACCACCCTGACCGGCGGTGGATTTTTTTTCTTTTCCTTTTTTTTTTCGGGGAGTGGGTGGCTGGGTGGGCGGGTCTCCTGTCGGTGCTGCAGAGAATATTTCCTGCCGCTACTATAGCGCAAGGAGCTGGCGCCTGGTTGCCAGAAGCTTTGAAATACAAGGCGGCGGAAAGCCACCGCCCCCTCCGCCGTCAGCATGCAAGGCCCTCCTACTTACTCAGAATGGCTACAGACGTTGCACGCGCTCACGTTCCTCTTACTGCAGTTTTTGCAAGTGACCCCTAAAGAATTGTTTGGCTGGACCGTGTGAATGAATGCAGCTTCGGACCGAGCATATATTTTTTTTCTGAGTCGCTCGTAGCTTTGTAAAGTAGCGCGAGCGTCTGTATTCGTGTGTCGTGTAGTCTAGTATCACCTGTACAGAGATGACTTCTACCTGCAGTACATTATTGATAATTGTGCGCCGTAATGGCCGTATGTTCGATGTATTTAGATTATAAAAGTCAGCGTTTCAGCTTGCGTACACCACACAAACACATGTTGCATAACCATTGCTTGAAGGTGGTCAGCACTATGGAAAAAAATCTCGTGCAAAGGTTATAGGAACTGAGCATGCTGACTGGAGAAAAAAGACGGGGAATTTGAAGGTTTGTCACTAATAAAAAAGGTCAAAGAATATCATTGTGTCGTTTGGGGACAGCTTTGTAGTGAGTGATATAAGTACAGGCAACAGATTTTGGTTAAACATTAAAAGAATTCAGTAATAAGACTCTACCAGTGGAAAAATTAACTAAAGGAACAATAAGCAATCTAAGAACCATAGGTGGTCTTCAGACCCCATTTTGCAGCTTCTAGATGGGCCCTGAGTATACTTTTTAGTTTCATTTTATAGTTTTAAACCATAACCTGAAAAAAAGAAGAATGACCCCAATGTCACTACTTCTTGGCTTCCCCCCTGCAGCCCTGGGAAACTTTCTTTTTTAAAAATGGGATGAATAGAAATTGTTAGATTTCCATTTTCAGAAATTGCATTGAACAATTGGACAACAGCAGCAGCAACACAAAAGAAATAACACTACAAGGTGCTTGGATAAAAGTTCCCAGAGAATATGAGATTTTAGACGAAGAGAGACACTGAAGATCCTATGGCCTATTTTTTGAAGATGGGTTTTCAACACTTACTACAACTTAGACCAAATATCAATAAGCTAAATATCACAGCAAATCTAAACTTTTTTTTGACAAATCCCACTCTAGATATTGACAAATACTCCATTACACTTCATATAATACATGAGAAAATAAAGGGTAATATATTCCCTTTATTTTTTTTAAGAAATAATCATTAAAATGGTTTAGGATTTGTGGCTTTGAAGTTAAAGAAGTACTACATTAGATAGCTTGTAAAACATAATCTTGTGTTGGGAGCCCTCTATGCTGCATTCTATGAAAATAAATGTGCACTCCAAATGTACATGTACCAAAATCCCTTGTTCTACCTATTATATCCTAAGAAATGGCCTCATCTTTATGGATTACTTTAGTATACTCCAGTGAAGTACCACTGGCAGAACATGTTGAACTACATTCCTATTTCATCCTGCTTGTGACAGAACCAGCCATTTGTCTAGTAGCTGAGCATATTGTCAGGAGATGATGGGAACTGTAATCAAATACGGTATATCTAGAGGATACCAACCTAGGAAGACTCTCACTACAATTGGGCAAAAAGGTATCTCATCTTGGAAGGACACCAAATGCTTGAGTGTTCTTCATGTTAAAGAACTACCGGTATTAGTAGTTGTTGTTTTTTCTTTTTAAATATAATCTTATTCAGGAAAATTTTGTCTTGGTCTTATTTGATGTATTATAATTTTTTATATACTGTCCTTCTAGTGCAATGTTCTTCAAACTTGGCAACTTTTAAGATGTATGAACTTCTGGAAGTTGAAGTCCAGACATCTTAAAATTGCCAAGTTTGAAAAATACTGTTCTAGTGTGTGCACACCACTTAGCAGCTTATGTTGATTAAACTAAGTTGAACATTTCATTTAAAAGATAGAGGAGTGGTGATCCCTAAAAGATTCTAGATCTTTTATGCTTTTAAATGTCACCAATAATACCTTGAATTCTGCCTGGAAACAAATGCAACATTGTTTTATTTGGGACAAATGGCACTTTCCTGAAATTTTGTAAAGATAGTCCCCAAGTAGAATGTGCTGTAATTACAATAATTCAATCTATTTACAGGTAAGGCATATACTACCATAGTTAATGCCTTTAACATTACAGATAAATGGCATTGAAAAATAGCTTGAAGCTGGGTGAAGACTCCTAGTTGCAGCTGCCAGCTAACTCTCTAAGAGCAAACTTGAATCCATAATTATTTCCAGACAAGAAGTTCCATAGAATGAGTAGTGCTTCTACCAAAACTGGATGAAATCCCATGTCCAAATCCTGACCTGGGTACCTCTGTCTTATCTAAATTAAGTTTCAGATTGTCAGCCTCATCTGGTCATTACTGTCATTAGACTTTACTCCAGAACATCAATGGCATCCTAGATATTAGCTGGCAGTATATGAAAACTAGAATAGAAGATGCATATCGCCCACATATTATTATTAATCTCCTCTTAATTTTTGTTTGGGCTTTCACATAGCTGTTAAATAATGTAGAGACAAGACTGAACCTTAGAAACATCATATGCCAATGTTTGGGGGCTGCCCATGTCCCTCAACATTCTAAAATTAATTTCCCATGAAGAAATTGAATCCTTGTGAGATGGTACTTACTGTATTTACAGAAGGCTATACATCAGGAGACATGGGCCAATCTGAGAACTTAGCAGGAACATCAAGTCATTCTTACATAAAAACAAGTGCAATTATACGACTCTACTTAATTTCTCCTCCTGCCCTGGGGAATGGAAAAACCTGCTGGTTCACCAAGGACTTCCTGTCTCTGTAACAGCAACAATCTTAAGCAGTGAGAATCAAGGTGTATGTGGCAAAGAATGCTAGATAGATGGCTTGTTGGCTTGACTCAGCAGTGCTCTTTTTAATACACTGAGGATTGTTGTTCATTTAGATTTTTTTTAAAAAAATTGCTGTGTGATGCTTTTTCCAAGTACACAACTAAAATTGAAATAATAACCTAGCAGCATTTGAGGGAAGGGGAAGTGGTTACTTTAAATTATCCTGGCATAACTTAAATGTGTTTGCATGTGTGAATGGATTTTTGTAGGGTAAAACTGTCTTCTACCAGAGGTGTGACTGGCTGACCTGAGTATGTAATTAATAGGAATAGACAGTTCAGGCTAGCTGGGATGGAATGTAAAAAGGAATGAAAGTCTTAGTTCAAACAGGGCCAATGCTTGCTTGAATGTCCAATCTTGCATACTAAATAAGAATAGCAACCCTAAATGGATAAATAAGAGAATCACATATCTTTTTTATTTTTGCATGTTATAAAAGTCAAGCTCATCTCCGTGGCATCTAATTAACTAATGAATTCTAATTCATCTGCTCTTCTTACCAAAGTTGTAAGAGGGCAATGGAGAAGTGGAGAGGTTAAATATGAAATTGGTAGAGGGTATGGAGAATAAAAGGAGAATGCTGAGTTTTGGAAAAGAAAATACAGACGGGAAAGAAAAGGATAAAATCACAGCAAAACAAAATTCACTGTGCCCAAAAAAGAGTGAAAAAAACCTATTATTGACTGAAATGAAGCGGGTTGCTATGTTTTTACAATGAATAGTCCATTATTTTTCTGCCCTTTCTGCAAACACCTAGGGCTCCAGTTTGGCCAGTTCCAGAGGGTGTGAAGGTTCAGAGCCATATGCCAGTATTTGCTTTTCCTGGTTTTTAAACACCAGAAACCACAGAGAAGAGGAGGCAGTTCAAATTTCACTTGCTTCCCAACATGAGTGCAAGTTTCTCCCAGCAAGGGAGGACCAGGCTCAAGTAGGGCAGATGAGAGAAGAAACACAGAATATCATTATTATTGTTATTACATTGAAAGGTTGCAGCGTAAGCTAGAGTTCATTGTGCTAGGTAGGGTGCAAGCATGGAATCCAACAGAAAATAAGAACAACAGCTATAGGCTGCAAAACCAAGCATACTTACCTGCAAGAAAATTGCTGTACAGTGGATGAAGTACAATATGCAAGGAAATATATTTGCGCTGTGAATTTAAAAGATTTTGTGGATGGATTTATGCACTCTATAAAAAAAAGGCAAATTGCCTCCCTGTAATTGGCTAACAATGTTTTTGGCATTTGTCCAGCTCTGGCCTGTTCTTATTTGCTTGATTATAGTTCTGACTCTTGTTCAGTGTTTTCCTCTTAGGGCAACATCAGGAATATATGCACCATATTTTTCAAATATCATTATCTCTCTTACTTTTAATCACCCATATCCTCAGGATGAGACAGCTGTTACCCCCTTAGTTTCTCAGTTATTACAAATATATGTAGAAATTAATAACTGCTTTTGGAAGGATTTTCTAAGTGGTTCGATTTTTCCTTCTTTGAGAACTGGCACTCCTGTATTATTTTACTAATACATTTGTCAATTAGAGCATGTATCCCAAGTCTATCATCACTTTCTTCTACAGTATCCTCCAAATCCTGTACTGTTTCCTATAAAAGTGGGTTTCATGCTAAAGTATATCTGCCATATATTCAGTCTTTCCAACTGATACCCTTTAGATGTATTGGAGCAATTTCTCAAATCCCTAAAAAAATAATATTGCTATTAAATACTAATAGAGCTGAAAGGCATGAACGTGAAAAACATAGGGCAGATATAATCTAGAGTACACAGAGCATTGTGATGAATGTCTGTACAGTTATCAGTTAACTACTTCAAGAAGATGAAACTTGCAATCTACAGTATCTCTGAGGTATGCCTAGTTCTCCATTTCACCA